GAGACCAGAGTCTGGCGCTTTGTTGCCAGGCTAGAGTGAGTACCATCGGCGTCAGGCCTACGCTACAGGCAACCTCAACTCGCTGGCTCAAGCATCCTGCTGCCTCAGCCTCCCAAGTAGCTGGGACTACAGGCATGCGCCACCATGCGGCTAATTTTTTATATATATAGTTGCCATTAATTTCTATTTAATATAGAGACGGGGTCTCGCTCTTGCTCAGGCTGGTTTTGACTCCTGACCTCAGCAAATCCACCCGCCTCGGCCTCCTAGAGTGCTAGGATTACAGGCATGAGCCACCACGCCCGGCCTGTTTTTAAACTTTTTAATCACGTGATATTCATTAAAAAATAGTTAAGAGTTTTTTTTTTCTGATTTTAAAATCTATACCTATTCGTTATAAAGACTTCTTGGAAAATAAGTCTCTGAACCTACTTGCATCACAAATAATAATTTGGTGCACATATATGTCTTCCCATTCCCTTGTTGCTGTGCACTCTGTATGTGCTTATGTGATTCGTATGCAGCTGGAGTCAGACAGAATGGCCAGTTTGAATCCTGCTCCTCATGGTTCTTTGATGAACATTCCCTGTGTCATTGAAATTATTTGCAGACATCTTTAACAGACGTGTGGTTTTCAGTTGTATGAGTTTATTGTAGTTTATTGAACTATTCCTTTGCTGCTGTTTGGAAGTGTTTCTCATTTATTCAGCACATACCAGCTTGCCTGGGTGGCACAGGAGAAGGGCATTCTGCCTTGAGAGGTGTCCTGTTGTTCACCCAGTGGAAGGGAAGGATGCTTGCTCCGTTTGGATTTTTTTTAAGAGACAGAGTCTTGCTCTGTTGGCCCAGGATGAAGTACAGTGGCACAGTCACAGTGCTCACTGCAGCCTCGAACTCTGGGACTCAAGCAATCCTCCCATGTTGGCCTCCCGGAATTGGGATTACAGGTGTGAGCCTCTGCACCCAGCCCAGTTGGATTTCAAGAAGTGTCATGGCTTGATGTAACTGAACATTAAAAAAAAATCCTTGGTACATACTACTTTCCAGAAATATCATACTGGCTTCCCCTTTTATTAATCGATTAATTTTTTTGTTTGTTTGTTTAAATAGAGACAGAGTCTTTCTCTGTCACCCAGGCTAGAGTGCAGTGGTGCGATTGTACCTCACTGCACCCTTGAACTACTGGGCTCAAGTGATTCTTTTGCCTCAGTCTCCTGAGTAGCTGGGACTACAGGCACACACCACCATGCCTGGCTAAGTTTTTGTTTTGTTTTGTTTTTTTGTTTTTTGTAGAAGCAAAGTATCACTATGTTTGCTTAGGGTGTTTTTTTTTTTGAAGGGGATGTTGTATGGAGAGATGCTCAGTTTTCTTTGTTGTTGTTGAGATAGTCTCTCACTCTGTCGCCCTGGAAGTAGAATGCAGTGTGTCTCATAGCTCACTGCAACCTCCAACCCCTGAGCTTAAGCCGTCCTCCAGCCTCAGCGCTCCCAGGTAGCGAGAGCTACAGGCGTCGTGCCACCCACGCCTGGCTAATTTTTTCTATTTTTGTGAGAGATGGGTCCCGTTTGCTCTAGCCTCAGGCCTGGTTTTGAACTCCTGAGCTCTAGTGATCCTCCCACCTCAGCCTCCAGAGTGCTGGGATTTCAGGTGTGAGCCCACTGCATCAGCCTTTCCCCTTTAATGTTTTATTTAGATTAAAAAATTTAAATTCTAAAGTACATGTTCATGATAAAACATTCGATAGTTTTCGGGCTTACAAAGCCCTTTCTGCTTGCATTCATTCCATACTCAGAGATGTCGTCCCCCCACTCCATGCCCTCTACTTCCACACTGAGAGGTAGATCCTTTTTCTGCCTGTTTTCTTGTTGTTGCCCCCCATTTTAACTAGACTACAGTAAAGAAAAACCAGACATAGGAGACTACAGTCATGCGTTGCTTATAACTATAGGGATACGTTCTGAGAAACATGTCGTCAGGCGATTTTATCGCTGTGAGAAACGTCACAGAGCATCCTCCACACGAACCTAGATGCTCAGCCTGCCACACGCTAGACTGTGTGGCACGGCCTGTTGCTGTCGGCCTTCAAGCTGTGAGCAGTTACGTACTGCACACTGCAGGCCAGCTGTGACACAGTGTGAAGTGTTTGGGTATCTAAACATTGGTTAACATAGAATACAGGGTAAAAATACGGTCTTACGGACCACCATCATTTACACTGCTGTTATCAATGTGAAGTGGTACGCAGCACATGGCCATAGTTATTAATCGCCTTTGTCTTGTTATCCTATATGTTGTAGACAGATTTCTGCGTTGCATTTTTTTTTTTTTTTTTTTTGAGACAGAGTCTCACTTTGTTGCCCGGCTAGAGTGAGTGGCCGTGGCGTCAGCCTAGCTCACAGCCACCTCAATCCTTGGGCTCAAGCGATCCTCCTGCCTCAGCCTCCCCCGAAGTGTGCTGGGACTACAGCATGGCCCACCCATGCCCCCACCATGCCCAGCTGATGTTTTGTATATATATTTTTGGTTGGTCAATTAATTTCTTTCTATTTTTAGTAGAGATGGGGTCTCGCTCAGGCTGGTTTCGAACTCCTAACCTTGAGCAATCCACCCACCTTGGCCTCCCAGAGTGCTAGGATTACAGGCGTGAGCCACCGCGCCCGGCCTCTGCATTGCATTTTTAAGCCTCCATCAAGCGCCTTATCTGTGCAGGACCCTGTGGGTGCTGGTGACACATGGTACAAGGACAGAACTTTCCCTTATGGTCCCTGGCACTTGGTTGACATCCTGTCTGAAGCGATGGTTTTCACCCACACCCTGCGATTTCACCTCTCCCTGAAGTTGACTGTATGCAGCAGCCCAGGGGCCTGCACATGCCCAGTGAGAGAGGGGAGGAGCTAGGAGTGGAGGCAGGATTTGGAGGAGATCGCAGTGAAGACAGGACCTTGGGCCCAGCCCTGAGGGTAGGGGTGGGGGATGAGCAAGGGCAGAGCTGGGGTGACAGGTGAGGGGCAGCCCTGCAGGTCCCTAACAGCGGGGGACACTTGGGAAACCTAGCTATGTTCTGGAAATAACTTAAATTTACAACTGTAATGTTTTTCCTTTAAAATGGATAATTGAAGTGTTTATGAAAGAGGGGCAGGGCTTTTCACAGCGGATTCCAAGAAGAGGGAGATGCAGCCTGCTCTGCGCCCATCTGGGGATGTTCTCATTTGCCTTCTTGGTGTGTGAGTTTGCACCTGTCCTGGGTGAACATGGAGTTGGTCGGGAGGCAGAACCTGCATTTTGTCTGATTGGCACCTTCTTGCCCCTGACTCAGGCAAGCCCTCCCTGCCTGGCCCGACCCCCCTACCTTGCTGGGCACTGGCAGGAGGGGGCTTCCTGTCAGCTTTCCCTGTCATTTTCCTGGAAACAGTGCCAGCACCACCTTTAACCTCCCATCCCATGCCCTCTGCTTCAGGATGAGCTGTCTGTGTGTGGAAACTGGTAACCCCTGTGGGAGGTGGCAGAGCTTCGGGGGCAGCTGAACAACTGATGGCTGCCATTGTGTAGACCTTCTCCTCCAGGTCTTGCCCTCACACCTAACTGGTCTTAAAGGACAGAAGATATTGGAGGCAACAGGTGGAAGGTGAACTGTGTCTGTCACTTAGCTTTTACAAATGTTGTTCTTTGTTTTCTCCCTATCTTAAAGTTCAGACCTCTGGGCTCTTGGATGCATAATATACCAGCTTGTGGCAGGACTCCCGCCTTTCCGAGCCGGGTAAGGATATGGTGTTTGCGGGGCCTCTGAGCCCATCATGGTGCCTCCCTGACAGAGGCTGTGCCCAGTTAGGGGAGGGACTTTGACGGGCACTCATGAGTGCGTGGCTTGGGGGTTTATGTCTGTGTTGGGCAGTAGGGGAGGTGCTGTGCCGTCCTGGGGAAAGCAGGTCCCTGCCCGTGGAGGTTTGTAGGTGCCTGCCTGGAGTGATGTTGTTTTTTTTTTTTTTTTTTTTAATTTTATAGAAACGAATATCTTATATTTCAGAAGATCATTAAGTTGGAATATGATTTCCCAGAAAAATTCTTCCCTAAGGCAAGAGACCTTGTGGAAAAACTTTTGGTAAATATTTTGAATTTCCTCCTGGTAAGATGATCCAGTACCGCATCCTGAGTCCCTCTGAGCCTGTGCTCTTGGGCTTTCCTGGGGGCACCTGTGTTTAAGAAAATGATGTTTTTAGGGTTGAAATGATTATAGATAATCACGTCTTATATCTCATGTCATTATAAGTCCCTCAATTTCCAAATGTCTGATTCTTGACAGGAAACTACTGTAACAGGAATTATAAAATAAAAATAATTAAATATAAATAAGACAGGAAACTACTGTATCATTTTGCATTTGCCCATCAACATAGCATTTTAAGTTACTTGTGCTAGAGCAGCTGCATTTATTACAGTGGCAGATGCTGTAAATCCTATTCAGTGACTTCTGTAAATGTCAAATTTAGCGTAAGCTACATGAAGATTTTAAAGATCAACCCAGGTAATATGGCAGAGAGACAGATTTACCTGGGGAAGGTATGTCAGCTTGTGTCCTAGAAACAAGTGTCCCAGCACTGCTATGCTTTCCTCCTTACCTTGATATTTTGGGTAGCAGGGTCAGTCCTGCCTCCGAGTATGGTCCCAGGGATGGGCACCAGTGTGGCCTGCTATGGGGCCAGGAAAGTGCCGCGGTCCACCTCTGCCCCCTATCTTGCCTGTTCCTTCCCTGTCATGGGGGCCGAGGCTTGGTCCTCTTGAGGGTGTAAGAGATTGAGATTCATTTTCAGTGGGAAGCTGAGAGGGTTGGGGGGGAGCAGAGTCTCGAGAGCTGCCACAGGACCTTGGAACATGCCTCAGTCATCCCTCGTGGGGTGGGCCTAGGGGCTGGGCCATGGTGTCCCTGCTCCTTCCAGGAGATACCGAGAATTGAAAAGAATCTTTGCGTGTCAGAATTACATTTTCACATTTCACCGTGACAATGAGTTGTCTTGACTATCGTTCAAGGTTTTAGATGCCACAAAGCGGTTAGGCTGTGAAGAAATGGAAGGGTACGCACCTCTTAAAGCTCATCCGTTCTTTGAGTCCATCACATGGGAGAACCTGCACCAGCAGACGCCGCCAAAGCTCACGGCTTACTTGCCTGCCATGTCGGAGGACGACGAGGACTGCTACGGCAACGTAAGCCAGCTTGGTGTGGGGCGGCCTGGGGCGGAGATGAGCTCTGCCAGCGCAGCTCCTCTGCATGTCGCGCCCCCTTGCCGCGGGACCCTGTGCACGATGAGTGGCTGCGAGGGGAAGATGGAGCTGATTTTGTAGGCCTGTTGGTGGTTGAACGTTTGCTGCCGTGAGGTGGTGGCGGGTGAGGTGCCCTGGGTGTGCTAGGTCCTTTCTCTCATTTCCTCAGTTGTGATTACTCTGAGTTTTCGCCCAGAGGGTGTAGCTGGAGCCAGGGAGAGCAGTGCCCGCACTTGCTGCCGGTAGAGCCCCTGCGAGGCTCCTTGGCAGCTGCTTTGAGCCTGGTGCCTTTGTGACTGAGTGTCCAGGACAGTCCAGAACGCTGCTTACCTTTCTGACAGAAACCTGGAGCGCTGCCTTTTTGAACTTCTGTGATACGGTGTTGGAGGTGGGCACTGGTCACCGCTTCAGTGCATGTTGGCACAGGCGCTGTACAGCGCCAGGGGGCACCGTACCAAGTCTGCGGGACACAGATGGTGCGGGCTTTGAGGCTGATTGTCTCCCACGACTTGACGCAGACATAGGAGCTTAAATGCACTGTGTTCACTAAAGTTTTTGTTGTGGGAAATGTGGGCCATACTCAGAAGGGACAGAGGCCGTCCTGAGTGCAGGTTCCTCGCTGCTTCTGGGCTTGTTCCATCAAAGCTGCTCTCACCATCCTCCATCCGGATATTTGAATGTGATTGTAAAAGTTGCCATTGTTGTTGATACCTGTTTTTCTGGCTTGACTTCTGTCCCTGTGGCTTATTCTAATCACTTACCATATGGCGCTCCACTTTAGTTGACCGTGGAATTCTAGATTTTATCTAAGTCATCCAAAGCTAAATTAAAATGGCTACTAGTATTACTTCTTGGAGATCAAGGGTCCCCTACGTCTCCTGCCTGCTGCATAGCACGCCCCCCCCCCCAGTCCTGAGGTGCCCCTTGTGCCCAAACTTGAAGGGAGCTGGGCCTGGAGAGCAGCCTGCGCCAACCTGCCGACCTCCCGCTCGAGGCTGTCCGCCGCCCCTGTGAGTGCAGACTGCTGAGGACTTGACCCCAGGAGCCCACCCTGTGTGCCCCCTGGGCGCTCCTGGTCATGCCAGTGAGAGTTGGCAGGAGCTGCTGGGCCTGCTGTTGCTGCGGAACTTGCACCTGGGACTGGGATGCAGCAGTTTGGCCCATGGGCTTCATGCCCTGTTGCTAGTCGCTCCTGGAAGGTAGCTGAGCACTGAAGGAGCCACGTAGGCCCCACTTGTGTCTGATCTCAGCACCCAGAGCTGCTCTTCACATGCGGTGCGGGTGCCCCTCGGCCCGTGTCTGTGCCCGCTGAGAACTCTGGCTTCTGCATCTGCAGGCTCTGGTTGTCGCCTGTGAAGTCGGGCTCCATGTGGTAGCAGCTTGCTTTTTGTAGATGGCTCATCCTTAGCTTCCAAAAGCTGTATGGTTTGAAAGCCTTGGAGAATGTCCAGGCAGAGAACTCCCCGTTGCAAACCCGAGTCCCGGTGGTGAGCGAGTCTCGGGAAAGATGTTGGCTTGGAGAGGTGTTGTGCAGGTGGAACCCCTCCCAGCAGGGGGTGTAGACAGCAGGTCATGGAGGGGACAGTTTCTTCTGAGAGGCCCCGAGAGTTGGTTGCCCTTTCAGCAGGGAGGAGGCTTCTGCTGGTGGGGAGGGGCTGGCAGCTGTCATCCATTCTTGATTTGGGTCCGAGGAGAACAGGCACTTCATTTTCTCCAGTTTGCACCATTTCCTGCCAACTGCTGACGGCAGTATTTGTTGCCGGACTCAGCACTATTGGAGACCAGTGATCGGGCTGAGGCTGGTGCACCTTGGAGGAAAGGTCACGTGGGGCACTGTCTCCCTGTCCACTGGAACACCTCATCCATCCTGTGTCCCGTTTGTCCACACGTCTTTCCTAGGCCTGAGCCTAGTGCTGCTGAGTGGGGAGGGTGGAGAATAGGAAAGGGTATTGGGAGCTTTCTGTGGGGGACAATATAGTGGAGCCCCCAAGAGGGAGGAATGTTCGCCAGAGATGCAGAAGTCTGGCTGTGAGTTCAGTGTTGGCCAGCAGGATATGACCTTGGGCCAGTTTCTGAGCCTCAGTTTCCCCATTTCAGCAGTGGGGACAATGCTAATAAGTACCTTGCTGGCTCTGAAGGCTTGTGTTACCCCGGTGGGGTGCCCATAGGAGGCTCTGTAGACTGAGATGCTATGCGGAGGCAGCTTCGTGCCCTGGAGCCTTCAGGGAGGAAGTGAGCATATGCCGGGGACTGTCCTGGGGTCCCTCCCCACTGGGAGCGGCAGGGCAGGGCTGAGGCTGCTGTCTGGTGTGCTGTGTGGCTGCAGGAGTGGGTGCACGTTGGGAGGGAGGACTGCAGATGGGGGCTGACCCCTGTGGAGTGGCAGCCTGCGCCCTCTTTCTGGAGGGGGGGGTGTGTGGAGGGATGCGCTGCACTCATCACAGCTGCTGCCAGTGGCATCTTCTCCTCTGCCCCTTCCTGGCCTAAGCAGGGTTCAGGTGTAGGGCATGCAGCCTTGGAGGCCAGCTGGCCATGTGCCCACCTGCCCAGGTCTGTGCTGGGGGCTCTTTGGCCCCGTCCGCATCTCCAGGAGTGTGTTAGTGCACAGGCTGTGCCTGTTTGGCACATTTGTAATTACTTCATTTTCTGTGTCAATACTAGTTTGCAGTTTTCTCTGGAATAACAGGCCACTTTGTCTATATTCAGCTAATCTTTGCTGGCATTAAAAGTAATGTTTTTTAAAAAACAGAATGCAGTTAGTCAAATCGAAATATATAGTGGCCACCGCAAACTTGGAAGACCCTGGGACCAAAGAGAAAGGCACCTGGGTGCTAAGGCCCTGCATCCTAGCCTGAGCACAGCTGGGCTTCCGCCCGGAGGAGCATGAATCCTCTGGTCCCTTCTCTTCCCAGCAGGCATCCCAATCCCCTACCTCCAGGGGCAGCACAGGGGCTGTCCATGCCACACTGAATGAGGGGCCCCAGGTCCCCTCTTCCTGGAGGCGAAGGCTGAGGTTTAGCCTGTCCCATTGGAAGAGGAACTTGGACCAGGCAGGACCCAGCTATGCCTTGGTTAGGTGGCCACATGTTCACTTAACCAGAGAATCTGAGCTGCCTACACTTGCCAGCAGCAGCCGGGCCTTGCACTGTGGCATGTGTGAGGTGGCTAGGTGTGAGAGCAGTGACAGGGGCGTGGGTGTGGGTCTTTGGGCCTTGGAGGTGAGCTGAGGGGCTCTCTCACTTTGCCTTCTTCTCTGCAGTACGACAATCTCCTGAGCCAGTTTGGCTGCATGCAGGTGTCGTCATCGTCTTCCTCCCACTCCTTGTCTGCCCCGGATGCGAGCCTGCCCCAGAGGTCGGGCAGCAACATAGAGCAGTACATCCACGATTTGGACACTAATTCTTTTGAACTGGACTTACAGTTTTCCGAAGAAGAGAAGAGGTTATTATTGGAGAAGCAGGCTGGTGGAAACCCTTGGTAAGAATTTACAGACATAAGCAATACTCCATGTGGAACTGCACTGGGAACGCATGGGAATATGGGAGACTCTGGAGCACCTGCAGGGGCCACATTGAGACCCAAGGTGGGCGTTTTCACCTTGTCGTTGCCTCCCACAGCTACCTTGGATGCCCGGCAAAGGTGGACCCTCAAGGATGCGGTTGGAAACGGGTGTTTAGGAGGCGTTGGGCCGGGGGTGTGGGTTGGGGTGGCGTGTGGGTTTACAGCCCTTGGGCGCTGTGGTGGGCAGGGCGTGGGTGGCTCTCCTGCTATGCGGCATGTGGATATCCCCAGTGTGGATGTAGGTTCACTGGGATTTAAATAACTGCTGCCCCGTGCTGAGACATTTGCAGCATTTCCGAGGTTTTGCTGTTGTATGTCATTTTTTTACACACAGCTTTTCCCCCTTGACTGATTATTTCTTTTGGAGTGGACCTTGGGGGTGGCATGTGTTCTGAGGCTGTGCACATTTCAAGACGGCTGTGATTTGTACCAGTGGTGCCAAGAACCTGAGTTTCCCAGTGGCCTTGCCTGGCCTTGAATGTTTTGATGCAGTAAAAGTGGGCTCATGTGAATTTTCACTTTTATTCTAATTGAAGCAGACATCTTCTATGTTCATTGGCCATTTATGTTTTATTTTTTTTAAGGTACTTTGTATCCTTTGACTTTTTTTCTTGTATGTTTTGCATCTTTTTAAAGTTGGTTTTTTAGAGACATATATATGAAGAATATTCTCCATTGTGTATTTTGCCAATGTTTTTCTTCAGTCTGTCAATGCTGTGTTACATGGAAGTGGCAAATTCTTACAAAATCCATCCTGTCTCTGTTTTTATGTTTTCCATCTTAGTCTGTTGAGAAGGTTGTCTCTGTCCCAATATTTTTACCTGCATTTTCTTCAAGCATTTTTATGCTTTCACCTTTTTTGTGGGCAGAGAGGGGCCCAAGGCAGGTGGAGAGACAGGAATGAGTGTTGGGGTGATGGGAGGGAAGGACGAGGCAGGGGCAGGTTTGAGGACAGTGTGACTTGGGGGGAGGAACGAGAGAATGGAGGTGAGCTCTCGGATGCTCGCCAGTGTTGCGGTGAGACTAGGGTTCTGTGCTTTTAGAAGTTCTCGCCTCTTAGAACAGCTGAGCACAGATGTTGGCCAGTAGCAATCTACAGTGCTAGTGTTTAAACTTGTTCTTTACCTCACTGTTTCCTATAGGGTTATTGCTAGGGGTATTAATACACACTGAGCAGGAAAAAGGGCTTTTGATCAGTTTGAGCAGTGCTGGCCAGGCAGCTCCTAGCAGCTGTGTGGTGTGTGTACTGGTTGTGCAGGAGCTTCTAGACTCTTGTGTGCTGGGCTCTCTGAGAATGGTCTGCCTTGTCCTCTCCTCAGGCTTGGCCAAGAGCACTTTCTCTGCAGAGTCCAGCCAAGAAGCGGAGTCTGCACGTGTGTGCACGTTTCAGCTCCTTTGGTGACTCCCCAGAAGGCCCCAGTGTGTCTCTGCCTTGGTGCTGGGCGGGACAGCAGATGCAGCTGGCTGTAGGTCAAGACGCACGCCCTCCTGCCTGCTTCCTTTGTGTTCAGGCTTCTCCTCCCTTCCCTCAGATTTCAGGCCATTTTAGAAGCTGACAACTGCCAAGAGCCTGAGGGATCTCTTAATTTGGTCAGTTTGGAGATTCTTCAAGCATAGAACCGTGTTTCCTGCCAGCCATGGTGGCTCATGTTTGTAGTCCCAGCACTTTGGGAGGCTAAGGTGGGAGGATCACTTGAGCCCAGAGTTAAGGCTGCAGTGAGCCATAATTGCACCACTGTACTTCAGCCTGGGCAACAGAGCAAGATCCTGTCTCTAAAATAAAAATTAAAAAAAACCTTTTACTTGAAACTTACTTTGTATTTAATATTTTATCCTAAAATAAAATTTACAGTATTTTTCATATTTATGTATGGATCATTGACTTAAAAAGGGAGAAGACTTGCCTTCTCAGCCCTCTGTGGCACTTTGTCTAGAGATGCTAAAAAGCAGCAGCTGACGTGCCAGAGAGCCCTGGTGGGTGGAGGGAGGCGTAAGCTCCTCCAGGGAAACCGGGCAAAGCTGCAAGTGTAAAGGAAAACGGGACAGAAGCTGTTTTTGCCTTGGCTGCGAGGACCTTAGGCTGCCTGCTTGTGTCTGTGAACAGACGTTTTCACATGTTATCATGGTACCAGTTGCAACATCACTTTGAGACCTATCATTCAGAGTTTTCAAGATAAAGGGATTTTTAAATTTAAAAGAACCATTTTAAACACATACGTGATGAGCTCTTTAAAAGCCAAAGTTGGTTGTTAAAGCTTTCAGACTAGAAATTAAAGAGCTGCTGCTCCTACAGAGAAGGTGCGTTGTTGAGGCTGGAAGTGCCACATGGTGGCTGGGAGACAAAAGCCTGGATGAGGCATTCTAGCACGCAGCTGTCCTCAGTCCAGAGACTTGCTGGAGTCAAAGTGTGACCGCGAAGCAGGAGCTACTGTCTCTGCTGCCAAGTTGTGCTTTTGCCTTACAAACGGTGGCTCTGCAGTCAGGACTGGGCTTGTTGCTTTGCTTTTTGTCCTCCAGCTTCTCGTTAGAGTCCTTTCATCCGAGTGCGTGGCGGTCTCACTCATGGTGCTGCATCGAAGTGGGGGGTGACCGCCTGAATCTCACGTTTGTTTCTTATGGAACAAACGTGTTCTCGTTTGCACTAATGGCACAGAAGCCGTGGTGGGGGAACTGCTGGCTTTTGAGCACCAAGTGACGCCGGCTCTTCACAGCCACTCGCTCCCAGAGGGGAGAGAACAGAACTAGTCCTGCTCCTGAACGTTTAGAAACAAAAGGGCTTGGCCCTTTTTGCTACATTAGGGCGGCCCCTTTGTCGTCTGTGGCGAACATATTTTGCTCTTGCTCTGTAAACTTATCTTCCTCAATAAACTTTGTTCCACACTTGGGAAAAAACAAAACGAAACACGACTGTTGTCAATGCTGTGTGACGAAATGGGAAGTGTGCGGAAGCACTCACGCTGCAGACCGAGCGTGACAGCTGCCGCGCGGAGAAGCACTAGTCGGCTGCTGGCGTGCTGTCTGCGGCACGCCGTCTCCACTGGCACGTCTCACTGACAGGCAGGCTGAGGCTGTGCAGACTTGGCTATTTGGCCAACATTTTTCTTGAAAATGATTGGAATGAGCTTGCCACTTCAAGGAAAACAACTGCCAGTATTTATACCAATGATAAAGTTGAAACCTTCAAGTGAAAATTAGTATTTCAGAAAACTGTGAGCTTGACATCTTCCCAATACTCAAATACATTTTTGAAGAGATACGTAGTGATATCAGTGAATCAGGTCTGTCGATATCGTAGATTGAAATTTATCAGCATTTAGAAGCTCTACGTGACTCAGCAAACCAATACTTTCCAGGTGACACATGCATAGCACTATAAACTCATGTAAGGGTAGAAGATCTGTTAAAGCTATGAGGTAGATTGATGGATTTTAATGTCGCAGCGCATGAAAAATTCATTGTTACGAATTCAGATTCCATATTGCAACCAACTTTTAAGAAACTGCCACTTGTTGGGTTGTGGTGTAGTATCGAAGAATATCAACAAATATCTTGAAAGCCTATTAAAATGTTCCTCCGTCTTACACCTATTTACCTGAGTGAGACTGAGTTTTCCGTGTCCTTCCACCTACACGAGAGCTCACGTGGAGCGAAGGCACGGCCGGTGGAGAGCCCAGCTCTCTTCTCATTAGCCACACATTCAAGAGATTTGCAGAATGTGCTGCAACACCACTCTTTCATTCTTTATTTTGTTTTAGAAAATAGTCATTTTTAAAATGAAATTTATATTGATAAGTAATGAGTTTATTGTTTTTTTAATGAATTAAGTATTTGAAAATGTCTCAGTTTTAGTTTCTCACACAGTACATATTGTACCATATAATCCAGAGAAAGGGAAGAGTGTAAAAGGCTGCCGGAGCCACCCCTGCGGGTCCTCCCTTGCCTGAGGGGAAGCCAGGTCGGCCCTTTGCCAGGTGTCAGGAAAGCTGCACATGAGCTCTGGCAGCCACACTGCAGCTCTCCTGGGAGTGGCTGTGTGCTTCGCTGCTGCAGGCCTTGGGCTTGGATCCTTGAAAATGGTCTTTTCAGGGTCTGGGTGGGGGGCATCAAGGGAGGAGGTAAGAGCTCTGACTTTGGAATCAGGAAAAGGGGGCTCTACATGGTCACCCCTTGTGAATGGATGGGGGTGGGCCCCTCAGTCCCTGCACCCTCATCTGTGCAGAGGTGGCGGGAGAGGTCTCTATCCGAAGGGAGCCAAAATGCCAGATGTGAAAGTGAGACCATCTGCTGGAGGGTCCTATCTTCATGCTGAGGAAATAGGTGTGTTTCCAGTGTGGGTTTGGCTGTGGCTCTTAATCTTCAGATGGTACCTGTGGGCTGCCAGGGAGTAAAAGGGCACTTAGGGCCGGGGTTCTCTTTGGAAGAGTGGGGACTGACTTGTTGAAGTAAAGATTCAAAATGCTTCCTTTCCGTGCTTAAACTTTTCATAGCCGATAAATAGCCTGTGGTAATTGTCTGAATGGACGGACTCTGGTGTTTCTGCTGATGATGGGACTTCATCGACTGTCTCTGTCCATCCCTCTGAGTTCCGGCTCCCGGCCTCAGCGGAACGGGCGGTTTCCCCTGGGTGAAGCTGGAGAGGTGGGACTGAGTTGTGTGCGGGGGTCCCGGTCTGCTCGCTGCATCGCTGGCTGTGCTGACGCTGCACACTGCGGCCTCAGCCTCACCGGTGTGAGTGACGACCCTGCTGGGAAGGCATCTGTGCTCCTTGTCTGTTTTTTCCTTAGTGTAGATTTCTGGGCATGAGGTTACTTCTCAACGCACATTTCCAAATTGCTTTTCAGCAAGTCCTCGTTCCAGCCCGTCGGTGCCAAGTGAGAACAGCACTTCGGCAGCTCTTTGCCTCGGCACCGGCACCCTGGGGACAGTGGGAAGTGGTACTCAGTTCCATTCCTGTATTCAGGGCCATTGCAGATTTTTTTGTGTCACCTAATTCCTCTTTTGGGAATTTCCAGTTTGTGTTCTTTGTTCACATTTCTGTTGCGAGATTAGGCCTTTCATGACACTTTTTATTTGCTCGGTGGAGTACACATGTTGCCCCTTTGTAGGTTACAGTTGCTGGAAATCTCTCCCAGCCTGTTTCCTGTTATCTGGGATATTTTTGAAGGTAGAGGTTATCTCTATTCTTGTGGAGTCATGTCTGTTGCCTGGTGTTTGATCACTTCTTTTGCTTTCAGCTTGGAAGGTAACCCCGCCTGCATAGGCTTAAGGAATATCCTGTTATCTTTTCCTTCTAGTCCTTCTCTTGAGTTAGTCTCTTTTTTTTTTTTTTTTTTTTTGAGACAGTCTCATTCTGTTGCCCAGGCTGGAGTGCTGTGGCATCAGCCTAGCTCACAGCAACCTTGAACTCCTGGGCTCAAGCAATCCTCCTGCCTCAGCCTCCTGAGTAGCAGGCACTACAGGCATGCGCCACCATGTCCAGCTAACTTTTTCTATATGTTTTTAGTTGGCCAATTAATTTCTTTCTATTTTTAGTAGAGATGGAGTCTTGTTCTTGCTCAGGCTGGTTTCGAACTCCTGGCCTCGAGCAATCCTCCTGCCTTGTCCTCCCAGGGTGCTAGGATTACAGGCATGAGCCACCGTGCCCGGCCTTGAGTTAGTATCTTGAACTGTCTCCCCTGTCATCCTTTCTGGTGCTTTGGTGTGCTGCGAAGGCTGAGGCTGGAAAGACACTGTGAGGCCCCCTTGCCTGCATGCCAGGCTTCCCTGCGATCTGGAATTCGGTGCCTGCTGCCCCCTGCACTTGCAGCCAGGCTCCCTGGCAAGTTGGCCAGTGAGAGCTCTCACCAGGCTGGGTTCAGAGGGACCCTCTGTCTCCCACACTGACTGTCCCTCCAGTAGGACCTAACCAGTCTGTCTGCTCTGAATCATCCCTTGTGATTCTTTATCTCACTCGATAGGGCCTGTCAGAATGGGCTTTCTGTCAGCCTCTGTGGGTTTGTCTGTGTATTTTGTGCTTTGTGTTGCGGTAGCTCCTGCTCATCACGTCTTTTGCAGGAGTCTCCTTGGTTTTCTTTCTCTGTATTTCGTGTGTGTGTGTGTGTGTGTGTGTGTGTGTGTGTGTGTTAAATACCTGAGAGAGGATTGCATGATCCCCATACAGGTCACAGCACTCTTGTTCAAAATCTTAGTTGTTTTCAAAACCCACACAGTGCCTCCTTGGTTTGTGTACCCAAGGCCAGGCCTTTGGTGACAAGGTGTCTCTCAGGGCAGGCCTGGCACTGGTCAGGTCGGGGTGGGTCGCCTGGTTCTGCCAGCTCAGCCAATCTTGGGGAGCCAGGCTGGTGTGTGGATGTGCTTAGATCTTTACTTGGTTATCTTAAGCCTTTTCCTTTTCTTTTCTTTTCTTTTCTTTTTTTTTTTTCTTTTTTTTTTGAGACAGGGTCTCACTCTGTCACCTGGACTGGACTGGAGTGCAGTGGCATCATCATAGCTCACTGTCACCCCAAACTCCTGGGCTCAAGTCGTCCTCCCACCTCAGCCTCCTGAGTAGTTAGGACTATAGGCATTTGCCATCATGCCTGGCTAATTTAAAAAAAAATTTTTTTTTTTGGCAGAGACAGGGTCTTGCTGTTGCTCAGACTGGTCTTGAACTCCTGGGCTCAAACAATCCTCCTGCCTCAGCCCCCTGAGTGCTGGGATTAGGATGTGTGAGCCACATACACCCAGCCAAATATATTTCTGTAGTAGAACCTCTGATCAGGAATTTCAGTAAAATCAGATGGAACATAAATCAGTAACTGTTAGTTTTAGCCAAGTGAGGTCAACTGCAGATATTAAAACAATTTCTTAAACTCCTAAGAATCAGAGTGAGGTTTACTTGCTAATAATGTGTATTAAATCAAAGCCTATATTTGAAGCTTTCTTTTCCAAATTCCTGCTATATTTGAATTAAAGTATTTTAATGGTAGAAATGCCAAAGATGTTCTTAAGCCAAGTACAGGTTGGGTCTTTCGGGGCTTTGTGATCCTAAACTGCTCAGTGGATCCTGAGCACTGAATCGTGGATCCTGACTTAGGGGTAACTTAAGAACGACCACCTTGTCCTGCTGACTCCCAGTGGCATCCAGTGTGCTGTCACCAGAGCTCTGTTAGGGTGACAGCGTGTGTGCGCTGCTTGCTTGGTTCTGTGCACCACGCCCTCCACCTCCACCAAAAGTGCTGGCTGAGAGGTGACTGCAGGCCGTGTTTGTGGTCTCTGTAGACTCTGGTCCAAACATAAACTACAAACTCTCCATGGCATTGGGTGCATTTGAGTTTTCTCCTGTTACTGAAGGGAGGCTGGATCTTTGAGGGGTGCAGGGAGTCCACAGAGGCCACTAGGGAGTTTGTCTGAAGGGAGGGAGAAGTGTGGAGAATTTCTGTCTATAACTTTCATGTGAGTGTCTCATTCTTGTTTCTTTTCTTTTCTTTTTTTTAATAGGCATCAGTTTGTAGAGAATAATTTAATACTGAAAATGGGTCCAGTGGATAAGCGAAAGGTGAGTCAAATTCCTGGTGCTTTTCGTGCCAGTTGGTGTCTTCCTCCTGGTCCTAACTCGGGTCAGATCTCTTTCCTCTTTCTCTTGCCATGACCTGTTGGACAGAGCTTCCTTCATCTTGGTTCACTTTTTAGCGATCATCTCTAGCTTTCATAGCTAAGGAAGATTTAAGCCACTCAGGGGATCAGTTTGGAATCACCCAAGTAGGTAGCAAGCGTCAAAGCGTCTCACTCAGGAGCCCAGGTTCTCACTTTTACGCAGTGGTGGCCAGTTTCAAGCTCTCTGTCAAGTTGAGGACGCTGATATCCTAGCAGGTAGTCTAATATTTCATTTAGAAGTGTTTTTAAAGCACTTAAGGGTTGTTACTTACTGTGTTTTATGGAGTAAATGGATTATGTCAGAAAATATCAGGGCCCATGTGCTGGCCTGGGGCCCCTTCCAGGCACGGGCTTCTGACCTCCATTCCTCACTAGGAGTGAGAATCTGTGAGGGGCTGAGGTGTGGCTGCTGAGGGCGACCCTGTGCCTCGGAGCAGCAGAGGGGCCAGGGGAGCTATAGGCCTGGCCATCGTTGGGGCCGTTGCACTAGCTCAGCAGCAGGCACCTGTGCTGCCATGTCCGAGACTTGAGCAGCTCGGCCCAGGTGGGGAGGAGGCATCCCAGGTGAGTGGACAGGTGGCTGTGGTGGTCCCTGTGCACCGAGTGACTCTGGGGACAGTCCATCCTCTGAGGCAGCAGTAAGTGCTGTCAGCAACCACTTTGGAGCCTTGATAAACAGGGTCTTTTTTTTTTTTGTATCAGGGTTTATTTGCACGACGACGACAGTTATTGCTTACAGAAGGACCACATTTATATTATGTGGATCCTGTCAACAAAGTCCTGAAAGGTGAAATTCCATGGTCACAAGAACTCCGACCGGAGGCCAAGAATTTTAAAACTTTCTTTGTTCACACGGTGAGCCTGTTTGGTTGGAGGGTTTTATGCCTCTGAGGGGAAGCATCCAAGTACTTTGGCCCAGGGGGAGCAGTTGGGGTCAGGGCAGCTGTCTCCCCCTTTCCTGCATCCCAGGGGCCCTGCTAATGACTTAGTCCCAAATGGGGCCAGGAGATCCCCGGTGCTTCTTTTTCACTTTGGGGGTGACCTGAGGAGGGCAGGTCATTCACCTGTATATTTAACTTTTGCATGTGTGGAGTGAAGAAACCCACCCTGCTCACAGGCTTCCAGAAGGCACCTGCAGTGCCGGCAGCAGGACCCTCACAGGCGGGGGGGTGGGTTCTGGTGGCCTCCCTTGAGAACGGTGGATGGCTTCTGTCTTTGCAGCCTAACAGGACGTATTACCTGATGGATCCCAGTGGGAATGCTCACAAGTGGTGCAGAAAGATCCAGGAGGTTTGGAGGCAGCGATACCAGAGCCACCCGGATGCTGCTGTGCAGTGACGTGGCCTGTGGCTGGGCTGCCCTTCGCTGCCAGGACACCTGCCCCAGCGCGGCTCAGCCGCCATCCGGGACGCTTCCAGACCACCTGCCAGCCATCTCAAGGGGAACGCAGAAGGCGGAAACCTTGCAGCTTTTTTATTTAAAAGAAAAGAAGAAAAAAAATACCCAACCACACAAAGAACAAAACCGATAACAAACAGGAATTCAGGGTTGCTTTGCTTGCTCTCTGTGCTCCGTGGAGGCTTCCACACGCCCTTGTCGCTGTGGGGACCCAGCTCCGTGCACGTCAGCCCAGTTCCCGCCCAGACTAGTGGACAGACCTGGCGTTACCAGCTTCTCCTAGCATCAGTCAGAATCGTGTGCTGTGCCCTCCTGCCCCGTGCTGGCCCTGCCCTGGCCGAGGGGACCGGGTGTGTCTCGGCTCTTCCCCCCCTCCTGACACATGATCATGGAACCCTTCACCAGGGAGGGAGCTTCTGCAGTCTCGCTGGGGTGGCCACCAGCCCTGTGCTGGAGGGTTTTTGGCTTCTGTGCGTGTGCCCTCTTTCTTGCGTTCCTGTTGATGGCCCCTAGGTGCGGCTGGGCCCCTTGCGTGTCTCCCGCATGGCTCTGATGGCAGGATTTCTGTGGTCTCTGCCGTCTGCAGGCAGACTCCATGCATTGAGGAGCAGGAGGGCGTGGAGTGACACGGGCAGACTGCCCAGGGGGCGGGCGTGCTGCCCCACGGCTCGGCTTCTTGGTTCCACTGAGTGTGTTGGTCTCTGGGGCTGAGCCCATGCCCGGGACGGGGGGGCCAGTGGAAGTGACCCGATTAGCACCCCCAGGGTCATTGCAAGAGAGACAGAGTCCTGCCCTGAGCCCCAGGTGAGGCCAGGAGGTGCCTTGGAGAATTCAGCCAGAGTAGATTGGGTCTGCTAGCCTCCAGGGGGAGTAGTGAATGAGGCCCATGCCCTTCCGAAGAGTCTCTCAAAAGGTTTAAGTGCGAAAGCCTCCCTGATTGGTGAAGTAGGGTCTGAGAGAGAATCCTGGGATTAACAGACCAGGGCGTGTCAGTCTCCTGCAGATGGCACCCGAGTGCAGGTGCCCAGTGTCACACGCACCCTGTTTGTATTGTGGTTAAACATTTCTCAGAGCCGAGTTTTTACATCTCTATGTTGAAAACCTAAAAGCCTCCTTATGTTGCTGAGTCACCTAGTCCCATAAAGAGTGGGCTTTGCCTGTTGGCGTTGTGTGGAAGGTGAGAATAGTGCACTTAACCTGGGCTTGCCTGGTCTGATCTCCTCTGCTTCTTTTCAACGCGTTGGTGGTGGTGCACTGCTGTGAAGCACAGTCTGAACGCATTAGTGTGTTGCCTTGCTGCTCCCCAGGTTGAGCGAGCTGCTGAGGCCTGGCAGGGCTGGGCCGTCCTGCTCCCCGGGGGCAGCCGACAGTCTCGTGGGGGAGAGGCAGGCGTTGCTGCTGCCTTCACAGTCTGCTCACAGACATGCCTCTGACTCGAATGTGCCTGGGGGATGAACAGCTTTGCCATTTCTGTAGACTTTCACAAAGGTACCAGCAGAAGGCCCACACAGAAAAGATTCCCATAACCCTTCCTGTCCCCTCGTCCTCCATCTCATATGACCCATCAGTCACCCTGTGTACCAGGTCCAAATGGAGAGCAATGATAAGAGTGGCTCCTCTTAAACTCCAGGGGGGAGTGCAGATGTGGGATGTTCTGTCGTGCTGGGGCAGTGAGGGAGCCCCAGTGACTATGAGTCGTGTGCAGTTCCGGCGTTGCAGGGAGCAGGACGCTCTGGGGCCCAGCACATAGCCCTGAGCCTGTGGCCAGAGGCTCAGCTCCTCTCTTCCTCTTAGCTTTTGAAAAGGCTTGCCTGTGTCAGTTGGGTCTCACTTGGCCGTTTCTTTCAGGAATTTCTGTTCAAGCTTACTCCCTTTCATCAGCTATTTTACCCTTTGCAGAACGTCCTGCGTCTGTGTGTGCAGGAGCTGCTTCCGAACTCCTGACTGCAGACATGGATGCAGAAGAGACGTCTTTCCTGGCATGTAGTTACAGGGAAACAAGCAGAGCTGACACTCAGCTTTATTAAGAGCACTTGGCTGGGCTGCTGGGGGAGAATCTTCTGTTGCATTCTTCCCTCTGGATAGCGCCACTACCTCCTGGGCTTCACCGACAAGCTCCATCTTAACCTCCAAAACCACAGAATTAGGGGTTCAGAGCTGGCACTTGCAGCCAACAGCTGAAACATCTGCCCTGTCTGAGCTGATGCCAGCTGAGCCCTTCTTGTGGGTCACCTTTTTCCTCACTGAGTCCCTTTTTTCCTGGCCTTTAATTTTTAAAAGTCCATGCATATTCATATTCTTTAATTACCTGTACTGACTCATATCAACTAAAGTTTTATCCATCCCATCCTCAGAGCCATCACCTGGCATGCCCAGGTGCCTTACATTCTAAGATGGGACGTGGGTGACAGTCTACATACATATACATACATACATGGAAATATATTGTTGATTTATCCAAGGTGAGAAAATTAGTGCCCTGTTGTTTAATAGATCCGAAGAGCCATGTGTCAGTTACTAAGAGTGGGCAAGGGTAAATGTGAAGCCCTGCATGGCCTCTTGGTTCAGAGGGGAGGATGCCACCAGAAGGCTGTAGTCACTGTCAGCTCAGACAGCCCACTGCATCTTGCTTTTCCCTGGGACACAGAGGAAGCCAGGTATCAAGGGGTTGTTTTCTCCTCTCTTCCTGTGGCAGCAGCCAGGCAGTGAGCGGTCCCCGTGTGGAGCACTAAACCTCTCTACCCCAGTGAGTGGCAGCACAGTGTGGCTCCCATTTGGAATCTTAACTTGTTTGGAAGCCTGTTAAAAATTTGCTTTGAGGAGGACAGCTCATGACATGCCACAGCTGGGGGAATGTGGCCAGCTCCAGCCCTCTTGGGACATGTTCTGGTATTTGTGGCCCGTGCCCAAAGGAATTGCAGAGACAGGCCCGTGGCTCAGACACCCATGGTGCCTGCACAGGGGCTGTGAGTGATTCTGTACTCTCTTCAGACTAACATTTATTTTCTGAAAAAACCCGCTGTAGGCTCCCCACGTGGAGGAGAGCATTGTGAATATTTGGTCTCCCATGTCCTGCCCCCCCCCCATTTGTTTGCTTTTTTAACTAAACTGGGAACATACAACATGAACTGTTTTGCATCTAGCTTTTTTCACTTGATTTTTAAAAAGCATTTTCCCATGTCTCGAGTAATTGAAAAACATGTTTTTAATGATTGTAGAGTTTAATGGTTGTAAATTTTATCATAATTTATCTCACCATCTCCCTATTGTAAGCATTTATGTGGTTTCTGGTTTTTCACTATTTAAATGATGCTGTGATATGAATATCCTTAATCTTTGGTTTTTGACTCTTTTTTTCCCCCTTAGATGCCTAGAAGTGGTATTTTTGGTCAAAGAGTTTGTTCATTTTAAAGATACTACTCTCTTTTCTCTTGACCTGATGCTTAGATGCTCAGAGTTCCATTAACAGAACTTCCTTAGCTGTGTCCTACAGATTCTGAACAAATCAGTTTCTGATAAGCTGTGTGTTCCAAAGAATGTTTGAATAAGACCACTTTTTTTATAAATGCTGAAATGATGTCATTACTGCACTCCATTCGTGACAGGTTTTTCCAAGAGCCAGTTTCCTTATTTGCGTTGCAGGAATCTGGCTATGCCTGCATGTTCTCCTCATCCCTGCTGCTATGGCTTTCAAGTGCTTGGTGATATTTTCAGAATCTTGTACTTTGTGTCCACAATGGTACTGAATTTGCATCTGCACAGTCAGCAGAGATAAAGTGTTGAACTGACCTTGCCACATGCTTAATGGGTGATTTGTAATTAAGTTTATAGACTCAGAAAGTACATTGGGCCATTTGGAATCAGTAGCAGAGCAAAAGCTCTACTTGGAAAAGAAACTGTGTAGATCATTGGATTTTACAGAAGCTATTTGTCGTCCTCCCCCACTCCCTCACCTCGGTAAGGTTTAGTGGTTCAGAAGAGCACGATGGCCAGGCCTTTTCACTGTAGAATGTGCTTGTCCTGGCTGGTATGGATTTAAGGCCTTCTCCCCACTCCCTGCCCACAGTGTTGTAGGTTGCCTAGTTGTCTTCAAGTCCAGATCACCCGAATTTGGTTGCATTCTTAATGTCTCCACTTTTGTTGGGGTCCATTGATTGAGGGGAAACATGCATGACACATATTTCTAGGTGCCACGCTCAGTACTACTTGACTTTACCAGAGATTATGGCTGAATTGTGCAGTATTAGGTCTCCTGCCGGCTGATGCCCTGAGGCCCCTCCCTTGGCTAGCCACAAACCCAGATCGCTCACTGCTGAGATTTTCGGGCGGTTGTAGCTGCAGTGAGAATATGGTGAAGGTGCTGTTCTTGGAGATGTCGCCATAGCTTTTTTCCATTTTGTTTCTTTTCAAACCTAACATGAACCGATGGTGACTCAAGTGGGTGTGGCCCTTTTTTAGGCAGCATATACCACAGAGACCCTAGAATTGGGGCTGGAGTCACTTCCAGAGCCTCTGAGGGGCACCCACTTCTGGCCCAAGATTGCAGGGTTGTAAACCAGGCTGCCTGTGGAGAACTTGTCTGGGGAGGAAGCAAAGAGCAGTTTTATCTGCTGCTGAGATGGCCATGATGGGCAACTGAATGAGCCTACGTGCATACCTGAATTTTCCCCATAACTCATTTCTTCAATATGAAGAAACACCAAACTGTGTACAGAGAACTTTTTACAAAAGGCAAACCTTTTTTTAGCTGTGTAACCCACCCTAGTCTAACCGTCTGGCTGAGTGACTACTAATAGAGGGGTCATTTTTCTGGTGAAAGCCTCTATTACTGTAAGTTTGGAAGTTGGCAAAATTAAATGTTACAGTATTTAGAGCTGCTGTAGCTGTTCCTTAACAACATAAAATAGGATGAATCAGTGTGTTAGCTGTCTTTCAGGTTGGTGGCAGTCAGTTAGGACATGTGTAATATTCTCTACCTGGTCTGTAGCTGTAACTGTGATGTACAGGCAAAGCAAAAATTAAGAGAAAACTTATGAAAACAAATAATGCAATGATATTAGGATATACACTTTTGTATTTTTATTCTTATATAAGGTTATTTGCTGGCTGTTGTTGGCCTCTAGTTCAGTCTGTGTTATTTAAATTCTAATATATGAATTATTTGGATTGAATTCATGTTCGAGGCCACAGTGTTGTATGTATTCATGTACAGCCTTGAATGTGAATAATTATTGTAAACTATATTTTACAACTTTTTTTCTGGCTTTATTATATAAATTTTCTATTTGGTCAATGATTTAATCATATAATTTAATGAATCTGTTTATTCTCTTTTTTTTTTTTTTCAAATATTTGTGCTTCAGGTGTAGTTACCGGATGCTGAATTTTCCTTGTATGCTCGGTAGTCTTGTAATAAAAGCATGTAGAGTGTAGTCGTTCGCTGGTGTGGCTCTTCCTTTGACCGCGGTCCGGGTTGTCCGGAGCCGGATCGGCGTCCACGCGCCGCTCATGCGAGCTGAGGCTGGCGAGCCCCGCCGAACCCGAGGCCAGGCTCCGCCGCTGGCCTCACGTGTAGGTGCTGGGGCCGCGCGCAGCCCGCTCCGGCCGGAAGGGGGCATGACCGGTTGCTTTTCCGGACCGGAACTTCCGCCGCCCGCGTGACGCCGGGCGGGCGCTTTACGAGGGCGGACTTTTGGGCGGGACAGCGCTCAGGGGACGGTATTAAAGGCCGGACGCTTCCGGTGGAGGGGAGCTGTGGCGGGGCTTGCTGGGATCATGGCGGAGAATCACTGCGAGCTGCTGCCACCGGCCCCGAGCGGCCTCGGGGCGGGGCTGGGGGGCGGCCTGTGTCGCCGTTGCAGCGCGGGGCTCGGCGCCCTGGCCCAGCGCCCCGGTAGCGTGTCCAAGTGGGTCCGGCTCAACGTCGGCGGCACCTACTTCCTCACCACCCGGCAGACGCTGTGCCGGGACCCGAAATCCTTCCTGTACCGCTTGTGCCAGGCCGACCCCGACCTGGACTCGGACAAGGTGAGGGCCGCGCGGGCCAGCGGGAGGGTCAGGCCGCCCTGGCCTGCGGCCCGTCGCACACCCACTGCTCGGCGCGGAGGAGACCTCGGCGGGAGCGGGCCACTCTCCTCCGGCTCCGAGCCTCGCGCTGCCTAGTCGCCAGCTCGACCGGGTCTCCCTCCGACTCCCTGGGCCGGGGAAGGAGAGGATGGCGCCCTGGCACCCACCGCCCTGGAGGATCCCCAGTCGCTTTACCTTGGGGTGCTTCTCTCTATCTTTGCCCTCTCTGCTCTTCGTTGGAGGAGGTTTCCTAGACCCCGGACTTTGCTTTGGATCTACTTTTTCTAACTAAAGTCTTCGGCCCGGGTGTGTGAACACCTTCTCTTCTCCGTCCCAGTGTACTTGCTGGCTCTGGAAACAGAACACTTGCGTTCGTCTTTCCTTTCACACACCGGACATTTGAATTAACGTTGGCGTGGGGGTAGACACGGGAGGCCCTCTTCTTCCAGTGACTTGCATTTAGAGTTGGCACTCTATGCTTTGCGTCCACAACACGCACCCACTCAGAAGCTCTTAGAAGCATCCGTAGTATGATTTTCCGAAGGGGATATTGCTCTCATTAAGGGGTGGCTTAGGATGTCAGGGAGAGAGAGGCCAGGTAGGGAATCTTCTTCAATCTGCATTTTAATTAGGTTTGTTTTCCCACTGGTCTCGCTAAAGGATAGAAATTCCCAGGGTAGTTTGGGACTTGTCTTTCATCAACTTAAATGTGCATAATGTAATTTGCTTAATGTGCATAATGTAATTTGCAGTATTACTGCAGATTATAATAGAAACTATTTTGATTATTACCTTTATTTTACAAGAGTTGTGTGAAAGAGGGAGTGGTACAAGGTTGAAACTCAAAAAAAAGCGTGTTTGAAGAAAAGTTGTTACCTATGTTTATCCTAGGCAGTTCACAAGCTGTGTACAGTTCACAAGTTTGCTGGGTTTTTCAGTCAAGGCTGCGTGATTGCACTTGGCTTTGTGCCTTGCCAGTCTGAGGCTGCTGTGCATGAGGCTTCCCAGAAAGATCTGGATCCCTCTTCATGTTTGAGAAGCCTGACAGACCATTCTCAACGTGGCATGACCTTACGATCAGGAAATGAGAACTCTTGAGTTACTGCAGAACAATTCATCATGGGTAGAAATTAGGGTTTGAGATGCCACCACTCCTGTGGTGCACCTTCCTCCCACACCCCAGCGTCCCAGCTGTTTCCATTGCTCATTTGACCCAGCTCTCTGCACTTAGAGAATTGACCCACCAGAAAATGACAGTCATTTCCAGGATGGAAATAGGCTTTTGTTAGCTATGATTTTCTTTTTATAGTGTGGGTGTGTGTTTTACTGTTTGGTTTTTCTTTTGAACAATGTGTCTTAGTGGTCATTTGCTTGCCTTGCTACTCAGGCATTCCTGTTTTGTACGTTAAATTAGACCTTATATTGCTCTTGTCCATTGGGTTCTTTTGAGGCAATGGGTGTCTATTCAGCACTGAAACAGTTGATTCTGAGCCAATTAACTTTAGCACAGTTAAACCATTTCATCCTTTTATTTTGCTGTCTCTTAAGACTACTTTGATAATTATGCTTTACTATAGGAAGGGGGGGGTAGTTAATCTGTCAGAACATATCTGTGTTGTAGCTGCCTTTTTTGTCATCATCCATTTAACTACATTTGATTTCCAAATTGTGAATCCAAAATTCAGAACGTGAAGGTGATACAGCAGATATAGTCTCTGTCATGTAAAATAGTTGATAGTAAATAAGGCTAGTTTTAGTTACAGATAACTTGCCAGAAAGAGTACTGCTAATTCACATTAGTCATGGTACTGAAGTGTTTTACTTCAAATGAGAAAATGTATAAAATGCTCCATGTTCTCGTTTTTTTTTTTTTTTTTTTTTTCTGCCTATGGTTCTGATGAAAGACTGTCCTAGGAGATTCCTCCTAGATAATTAAATCGTGAGTGAGGAATCTAAGGAGGAGGGGAAGGGGAGTCAGAAGTGGGAGGTCACTAATTACACAGTGAAAGACAAACAAACAGGATGTTGATTCACCTGTAATGATCTCCAAGCCCCAACCTCAGAATTGAGATTAAGGAAAGGCTATCTGGCATGGTTTCCTAGAGTCGAGCTTGAGCGTGGGCCTGGTGGGAGAGTCCCTGCCCAGATTCCACTGGTGCTTGCTGAGCACCTGGCTTGCAGAATATGCTCTGGACAGGATCTGGGTGGGAGGTTTAAGGGGGAGGAATCCCCAAGAAGCTACAGAACTTGAGGAGCCTGAGAGGTCGGAAGAGCACCCTGCTACAGAAGACTGGTGGGAAGGGGAGCTGTAGACAGGCAGGTTGTCAGTGGGTGTAGCATGTCACGCACACCAGGGGCTGGCTTGGCTGCCCTACCTGCCCCACATCTAGGCTTCTAGGCTGCAACTGCCCCCTCCAGGTCTTTGGGGCCCAGCTTGAGACCCACGGCCTGCCATGACCTCTGTTCCCAAACCCTTAGCCTCTTGTCTCAAGGGCCAAAGGGCGACTTGAGGCCCCGCCAGGTGTGAGCGCTCACTTCTCCCTGCAGCTTCCTCCAGCGGACTGCATTTCAGTATCCGCTCATCTGTGTCATTTTCTCTTCCACCATGTCCTTAGGAGCAGGCCAGATGGAATACTCCTCCCCAAAGTCTTGATGCGCTTTGGTTGTGTCTCTTTTTATGCTATGCCACCCAGCTCAGAGATTTCGCAGAGATTTCTATGTCAGTGCCTAGCTAAGGGGATATTTCTAAGAAGTCGGTCCTAGAGCCTTTAAAATAACCATTCTTTAAAGAATTATCTCGCCATCGATCACCATTACTTCAAGAACAGTGGCCCCTTTCACCATCCTTTCACGAATAATTTTTTTGAGTGGCCTGTGTGAGAGGTGGGAAGTGCGGGTCCTGGGTCAGTCCTTCCCTCTAGCTGGTTATCCTGAGAGATGAGAAGTGCGCATGTGCGAGATGGGTGAAAAGTGCGGATCCTGTTTCAGTCTGAAGACTGAAATGTTGGAAACAAAGTAGAGTTTGTTTTTAGCAGACCCAGCCCCTGCTTTGGTATAGAGGTACTTTGGGAGTTAAAGGGAAATGGGAAATGCCACTTTAAGTTGGGAAACCACTCAGTGTGAGGGGGTTTGAGGAGGGTTCAGTCCCTGCAGCTGAGCCAGGCCCGCAGGAAACTGCTGGTTGCACATGGACTTTTGCTCTTTGAACAGGGCCGTGGTCCCGGCTTCAGTGTTGCAGACATGGTGGCATTTGATGGGTCTCTGGGGGTGGGGCAGTCACAGTGCTTCTGACAACAGTGCACTCAGTGTTGGCAAGACTTTCAGTGTTGGAAGGATAGGAAGGACATTTTACAGACAGGGCTAAGTGATGAGGAGTCCTGTCTTTGGAGCTGCTTGGCAAGAGACGTGGGGATCACTGGAGTGGAAATGGCAGGCTCCGCTCCGTGTAACTGGTGCCGGGGAGACGGCGCTGGCCACGAGTGGGCGTCAGAGGCGCGGATGCACTTCCTTTCACGCTTCAGCCGAGGGCGTGTGGTCTATGCACGACGCGAGCGCATGGTCCTGCTAGTGCTGTGGGCTCCCCGTCGGCACCCTGCTGCAGCAGGTTCTCGTCCTCTGTGAGTCTGTGGTCACCTCTCTACCAGCCCTTCTGACCTGAGCCAGGCCGCAAGTCAGAACTGTTAAGTTCCTGAGAAAAGGACTTGTTTTTTTGTGATAAAAATGAACCTTCCTGTGGAGAGCTTGTTTTGGGGCTTTCAGTTGCTCTGGTCCAGCCGGTCTTGATTGAGAGCAGAGGAAAACTCTGATCCACCTACCAGTTTTTGCAAGTGAAGTTTTATGGGGACACAGAGATGCCCATTTGCTTACGGATTTTGTGTGGCCGCTTTTGCTCTAAAAGCTCAGCATGGAGCCCAAAGTCCTCACCGTGTGGCCCTTCTCAGAGAGCATGTGCTGGCCCTGGTCCGAGTGGACAGCGCTGCGGTGCGGGTGCCCGCTGCCCTGCTCTCCCCAGCCCTGCCCACCCGGTGAGGGCCCATGGCTGTGAGCAGGTGCTCCTTTGCTCAGACCTGTGCCATTTTGGGTCTTTCAGCAGATCCTTCCTCTGCATGCTCCAGTCAGTGGTCTTGAGCCGAGGTGTTTAAAGTCTGCTTGGCACCGTGGGAGGGTCCTCATGGCCAAGGTGCCAGCAGACCCCCTCTGCCCTGGGACACACACTCATTCTTGCCAGGCTTTAAGTGGGCAGTTCTCCCTGGACTACAGAGTACCCAGAAGATTCCAGTCTGGGGTTGGTAGGTTTTCTTTGGTGCAGAGCTAGACTTGGGGAGCCTGGGTTTGACTCTGCCTCTCATTTGCCTGCTGTGTGACTTGGGGTGAGTCAGTGTACCTCTTTGAGCTTTAGTTTCTTCCTCTGTAAAGTGAAGGTGATGCCCTCCTCCTGGAGTAGTTTAGAGAGTTAAGGAAGATGACGAGTGTGACCCCTCCTGCTCGGTGCCTGGTCCTGGGTTAGTGCAGTAAATAGAGAATGCTACTAGCAGTCTTTATTTTTGTACTTTGCTTTTAGAAAGGATATGCCAAGAATGCATTTTTCTCCCCATCAGAGTTTATGTCTGTTAACGTCTGCCGCTCATATATGCTCATCCCTGTGAACCTCACGGTCTGGGCTGGGGAGCTCACAGTGAGCGCACAGGGTCAGCCTGCACAGGACAGGCCCCTGGAGGGTGAATCCCCAGCTCTGGGCACCAGAGCCTGTGCTGTGGGGAGGGGCAGGGCTTCCTGGGCAGCCACTGAACTTTCTTGCAAGAAGCTTGATGACTTCAAGCCTGGAAAACGCAGCCTCGAGGCCCCAATTCTATACATGGGTGTTGCTGGTACGGCACCCTCGTGGGGGTGCACCCACGTCCCTCCCCAGCATCATCCTTGTCCTGGCGGGTTCTGGCTTCTTCCGGGGTGGGCTTCCATGT